TGTTCTCGAAGCTACCAGCATGAGTTTGACCAAACTGTGGGAGGCAGTGGAAGACAGGAGTGCCTGGCGTGCTCTGGTCCATGGGGTCATGAAGAGTCAGACACGACTAAACAACTAAACGACTAATTGCTGCTATTGCTCTTGTCGCATCATCAGTGCAAATTGTGCCTTATGGTATAACATGAGCAGAAGACAGATATTTGCCCTGAGCAGTTTACATTTTCAATCTTCAGATGGCATTCCCAGAATAAGTACGCTAGGCATATGTTCATCTCAAATCAGCTAGAGAACGAATACATACGTCCAGGAAACAAGGCCTGTCTCCAGTTGCAGAGGGGGAAAGGTGCTGAAAGCCAAAATCTCAGCAAGAAGTGATCTTACCATTACAAGGGACTGGTGTCAGTATCCACACACACACTTTCAGATGTTGCTCTTTCTGCCCAGTTGAGAAAACAAGGTCTACTGTGTGGCCTGCCACATGCATTGGGTCAGTGACATGGTTGGCTGTTGAAGTCCCCCAGAACCTCTACATTGACTCCAAGACCATCTCTGTCAGGGATGCTGGGCAATGAGGTGGGTGGTAAATCTGAGGGCTGGCTGATAGGACAATTGCAATTCCCCAGATTGGAGAAAAGCACACGGCACAAACTGTTTGTGCTGTGTGCCCCTTGCCAAGACTGTCCCACTTCCTACACCATACCTCCCCCTACCCTGAATTTTTTGGGGAAGATACTCTCCCCAGCTCCTCACTTCCCAGGCACATCCCTTGTATTAAAACAACAACAAAATCCCTGAATCTAAAACACTCAAGTTAAAAACCAAAAAAAAATTAGGGTAATAATAACAGTAAGACCTGCTAAGCTATACCCCAACCCAAGAGTCCATTCAGCTTTTGTAGCTGCAATAAGCCTGAACCCACCCTTGTAGGCCAAGTAGAAGAGGCCTGCAAGCCAGGGAGCAGGTCCCTCAAGACTCACAGCCAATATGGTCTCCAACCTCCTCAGGTTAGGGGCACTGGAAAGGTGTGGTCTTCTTAAGTACCTGATTACTCAGCCTGGAAGTTATGTGCTTCAAGGCTTCTTCCATCTACTCTACGAATGAACCCCCGGCACCCTGGAATCTTGGGTCATGTAGTATTAGTTTTCAAGGGATATGATGTCTAAAGTAGAAGTCCGAGGCTTTGTAGTGCTTCCTGAAGGCAGGGGAGAATGGAAGCCTTGCAGAAAGTCCTCACATGGGGCCTCAAAATAACTTTGGGAGGTGGGATTAAGCGTAGATGGTTTGTTCCTCCTGTAGCACTTCACTGATCTTCAAAGCAGCCCTGCGGAGCTGCTAACTTGCAAAGCAGAAACCATGGGATATCATAATCACATGCCTCCCACCTGTTGTCTTATTTGACCATAAGCTTCACAGGGTTTTGAAACCTCAGCTTCCTGGGTCGTATTCGATACTAGTCCTAATCAGAACAGACCCATATAAGTTAACAGATATGACTAACTTAGGTTCATTAATTTCAATGGGTCAACTCTGAGTCGGATTTAGTTGACCACAATCCAGAAGATTGCAATTACCTTTGATTGGGGCTTTGGCATCGCATTTGTAGGTCATGATCCACCAACTCAACACCAATGAATGGAGGAAGAGGTAAGAGGAAACACAGCAGTTCATTGATATGAGTTAGCAGAATTATGTCTTTTCAGTTGTTTAGATGTATTTTCTCTCTTTTCCTAACTATTTTTCTTCTATGTTTTCAAGACCCTTTTCAATCTGATCCTAACCAAGATTCACTTGTTTCATATTATCCTCTACCACATGGTGTAGAATTGAAGGCCAGGGACAAAAGCTCCCCCCCCCCTTTCATTCCCCAGTCGTAGCAATTTGATTCAGCAACATGGCCACTTGGTATTTGATTGCTTAGGAGGGAAGAGGACCATGAAGAGGAAAGGGCTTCACAAACTCACACCATGTCATTCCAAGATTTTTCAGTATTTTCTCATTAAATCTTCAGCGAGTCGTCTGAAGTCCACAGCCTGTGACACTGCTGAAAGCTTGAGTACAAACAGAGAAGTAAACCATTTTATTGATTTCAATTTCATTAGAAATACAGTTTGCAGAGAACAGAACCCAAGTGGAAAACTGACAAATCAATTCTTTGCGAAGTTTATTTTTAAGCCAGAATGTTCTTGCCAAAGAAAGCAGCTATGCAGTGATACTTCTAAGTGACACAATGTATTGATATTTTAATATATAAAAATTACCTAGCATGATGTAAAGCAATTTTATTAACCCTCACAATCAATACTATTAAGTAGGTTCTTTCGGGTTGCTTTAATCCGATATGACCTGATTTAGAGGTGATACCCTTGCCAAACTTGTATTTGTCACTGGGTGCGAAATTGTGCGCACACATGAGTGCTGTGTGATAAGTTCTCTAGTTTGACACAGTAGCTGGGGCTATAGGTGCATTGCTCTTAAAGGTAAAGGGACCCCTGACCATTAGGTCCAGTCGTGGCCGACTCTGGGGTTGTGGCGATCATCTTGCTTTATTGGCCGTGGGAGCCGGCGTACAGCTTCCGGGTCATGTGGCCAGCATGACTAAGCCGCTTCTGGCGAACCAGAGCAGCACACGAAAATGCCATTTACCTTCCCGCCGGAGCGGTACCTATTTATCTACTTGCACTTTGATGTGTTTTTGAACTGCTGGTTGGCAGGAGCAGGGACCAAGCTCACCCCATTGTGGGGATTCGAACCACCGACCTTCTGATCGGCAAGTCCTAGGCTCTGTGATTTAAACCACAGGGCCACTCGCGTCCATTGCTCTTAGGAAAGTTTAAATCCCACATCCTTGGAATCCGCTGTATGGAAGGGATAAATGGAAGTTGGATTTAGTTACTCCATGTCTACTTCTTCCCCATCTAACAGCTGCTTGGACAATAGATTTTTTTAAAGGACTACTTTAAAGCAGTCATGGATGTTCTGCAGATGCACTGTGGGAATGCAGCTAGAATCTCTAAGGCAGCAGGGTGAAGCCTCTGGTCCTCTAGATGTTGCAAGACTACATGTCCCATCATTCCTGGTCATTGGTCATGCCAACTATGGTTGATGGGATCTGAGGTCAGACAGAATGTGTTCCTGCCTCTGTTCTAAGGGAACTACATATTTTTACCAGGTTTCTACCAAGATAGCACTGTTTCACTTCCCGTGTATTATGATAGTGGTCAAGGTGAAACAAATGTTCATAGAGTTGGTAGAGTCTTTAATTTCTATATTGCTTAATACAGTGGTACCACAGGTTAACAACTTAATTCATTGTGGAGGTCCGTTCTTAACCTGAAACTGTTCTTAACCTGAGGTACCACTTTAGCTAATGGGGCCTCCCACAGCCGTCATGCTGCCGCCACACAATTTCTGTTCTCATCCTAAGGTAAAGTTCTTAACCCGAGGTACTATTTCTGGGTTATCGGAGTCTGTAACCTGAAGCGTCTGTAACCCGAGGTACCACTGTGTATTGAAAATGTCTCTAAGCAGTGTACAGAGGACTGAAGCAACAGCAGGCAGCTTTAAACATTACAGAAATATGCAGTTACGTATAAAAACGTTACATTAATACAAAGTTACTAATATATAAAAAAAGCAATATCAATTCATTTTTTTCTTCTGGCACACCCTCCCTCTCAGCCTCCAAATTCTTACCCAGGGTCCAAACAAACTGTCTGCTCACCCACAAAAGCCTCACAACGTTGTCATTCGAGTTTCAGAATCAGATTGTGACATGTGACGTATTAGAAACTGTCAAATGTTGACTGCCACATATCGGGTAGGGTCAAAGACTGACAGCTAACTCCATCTCAATTACCAAGTATGGCAAGAACTGCATGGCTGATACTGTCCAATACTGACTGCTATGTCGCACGCCAACCGCCCAAAATTGCCAAATGTTAATTGGCAGACGTCGCATACTGACAAATTTTGATTGGCACGGCATGACAGCTGTGAAGTGGTGTCAAATGCTTGATGCTACTTCAAAATAATTGAATCTTAAATGCAGGTGCTGGTGCTATTAAATGCAGGGGGCCCAGCTGTGCAAAATGGCTCACCACTTTCCACTTTCCAGTGAAGTTGCCTTCTGGAAAAACACGTCTGCTTTGTGTGTGTGTGTGTATGGAATGATGTTTCTGTGACCTCTGTTGATGTTGGAGTGCAACTGTCAAAATCTGAGGCCTTGTCCTATTAGAATGGGAGACGAAAGATGAAGAGGTAAAATCAGTTATGACTAAATGGGCACAAGATATAGGTCACAACATTATGATGGAAGATTGGGTTAAATTATGGGAAACTGACTTAAAATTTACCGATTATTCCCTATTGAAGGAGAATTACATGAAGATGATGTAGAGATGGTACACAACACCAGTGCAGTTAGGAAAAATGCACAAAACTAGTTCAAATATATGTTGGAAGTGTAAGGAAAAGGAAGGGACATTTTATCATATGTGGTGGGATTGTAAGGTAATTTTAAAAATTTGGTAAATGATATACAACGAATTGAAGAAAATGTTCCATTTAACATTTGTTTAAAAACCCAAGGCATTTTTGTTGGGGATTGTAGGGAAAGACCTGCCAAAAAAGTTTTAAAACATCTTCATGTATGCGACAACAGCCGCGAGAGTTCTGGTAGAACAAGGATGGAAGACTGAAGAAACCCCAACTAAAGAATCATGGCAAGAAAAATTGATGGACTATGCAGAACTGGCAAAACTGACATATAAGCTACGGGACAAGGATAACTGTGACTTTAAGGATGAATGGGAACCTTTCACAAAGTATCTGAAGACGCAACAAAGCGAACTGGACTCCGTGGCAAGTTTTGAATAAACATTCACAAACTTTTTATTGATAATAATCAGCTAAATAGTTTGAGGATCTATACAACTTTGTAACATGCAGAAAACAGCATTCTTAGAGAAACCAAAGACTGGAACTGAGGGAAGTCAGGGGTGGGGGGTTGTGTGAGAGAGGGGGAGGGAGGATAAATGGGGGGGGACAAGGATGATATGTTTTTGGATAATATGTCTTGTTATAATTTTGAATTAAAAAAAATCTGAGGCCTTGTTTGGCACAGACAGCGATAGCTCAGGTGGTAGAGCATGAGACTCTTAATCTCAGGGTGGTGGGTTCGAGTTCCACACTGGGTTGAAAGATTCCTGCATTGCACTGGGGTTGGACTAGATGAGCCTCAGGGTCTCTTCCAACTCTACAAGCCTGTGGTTCTGTGCTGTTACTATGCTGTAGACTTGTTTAGTTGTAGTGGTGCAGATTCTGAATTGGGGAGAGAGAGAGAATCACATTTAATATTTAAAGTTGATGGTATTATTATTTATTTCAATTCATATTCCACCCTCCCTATTAAAGGAGCCCAGGGTGGCAATCACATCAGTAACAAAACCCAGCAGCAGTTTTAAACCATTCTAAGAACAAGGTATCTGAAGAAGTGTGCATGCACATGAAAGCTTGTACCTAGAACAAACTTAGTTGGTCTCTCAGGTGCTACTGGACATTTCTTTATTATTTTTTATGTATCTCAACTGTGTCAGATCAACACAGCTACCTATCTCATTCTAAGAACAGTTTAAAATCCATCACATTCTCTCAGCCAATGATTTCAGGGTTGCCAGAGGCAGTCTCTTCCAGCCATCAAATGTCTGGTTAAATGCTTTAAAATTCCTCCTGAAAATCAGTAACGAGGAAAAGAGATATCTCACTAGGGAGGACATTCAACTAATTTAAGTTTACACAAGTGAGGGGTTATTTATTGTTGTTTTTAATCAGCTAAACTCTCCAAGCAGCTGAAGTACAACCTGAGATGCTTGGGGGGGGGGGGTCAGAGCTGGGTTGTTTCCAGTAGCTGGGCTGGATTGTGGTGGGTCAATTTGACTGGGACTTAGGGGATTTGGCCTGAGGTGAAAGCAACAGCCTCTCCTGAAACCTTCAGAAACTGTCCTCCAGCCCATGTAAGACCCCAAAGTATATATCACTATTGCCTCATTTACAAAAAAGCCCTTTGCGTGTCGAGGTCCCCAGGGCCACCCCAATAACTCACACATCACACCAAATTTTTTGTTTAAGGTTTTTGGCATAATTTTGGCCACAACTTTATTAAAATACAAACATGTGAGTGGTTGCTTAGGCATTGGTTGCAACTATCTGCCCCCACCATGGGGGACAGACTGACATTCCGCACGCCTGCGAAAGTCAGAAAAGGGGAATACACTTGGGGGTTGCGACGGAGCAGGGAACCTCCCCTCAGCCCACCGCAAATGCAACCAGGAGCTCTTGCAGTGGGCCGAGCCGCCTTGACAGGGTGGACAAGCAATAGTTAGCCCCCAATTCCTTTAACGGAATCCCTTGCAGCAGCAGCATTAGAGGGGCAGGCACAGCCAATCCATGCCCCTCAACCAACCAAACCATAAACCAATGCCTAACCACAACCTTACAAGTTGTGACGATTTCCTACGCAGTAGGCAAAAACCAAATGGCCCCAGCCAATCAGCCAGATGGACAAAATTCCTACCGGGCCCCTGCCCCAAAAGCAGATGACCCCATGACAGGCATAGCAAGGTCAAAGCGAACAACCCTAAATATAGGGAGGGGGGACGGGCAATCCGATGCACGGGCGAAAAGAGGAAGCCCTAGCCTCGTGCAGGGAGTTTTAGCATTTCTGGCTGTCAATCAACAAATGGCAACATTAACTTCTTCCCAACAACAAGGGAAGCCCAATCGCATCAGTGGCCAACAATCAATTAGCCCGCCCCCAACTTTGGAGTGTCCTGGCGGCCCCCACCGCAACACGTGCAATCCATGAAGGAGAACATGCTTTAATAATTTTTTTTTTTGCTTAGCAGTGCATTACAGTGTAAATCCAGACCCCAATAAATCACCTCAGTGCATCTTTTGAGCTGAACAGGGATGCAAATCAGTTCTGGTTGCTGCATGCAACTTGGGACAACATTTTCCAGGAGAATTCTACGCACGTCCCCAGCGCCCTTCTGAAATTTGCCTAAAATTACAATCAAGGTGACTTTGATGGTTCCTCCTCGGACAAACATCCAAGGAATTGCAAAAGAAGCTAAAGGAGCTTTGGAAAGAGTAGCTACACTTCTTGGAGGAGTTGGGGGAGGAAGAGTCTCACTCGTTCCCAGTAACTAACACGGAATTATTCAATGTGCACATGGTGATGAAATATTTGCTATATCAGGGAAAAGCACAGTATTTAAATATTAAAAAGAATACTGCCCCATCCTTTTTTTTTTATTCCTTAATTTAAATTTGCATTAGCCATGCATCCCGTTTCCCCACCCTTACTGTTTCTAATTTTTAATTAGCTTAATTTAACTGGAATCTCTAGATAGGTCACAGCTCTCAAGTTTAATAAAAATGGAGTGAAACAGGCTTAATAGAAATTCATAAATTACCAATGTTCTTTGGAGTAATACATACATAATTTATTTTGGAACGATGCTCCCTGCATTTTACTGTATTTGAGTAACTAATTGTGTTGGATATAGTGTCCCTGTGTGAACATCTTTCAAGATGCCAAGCAGATCCTCACTTGGCCCTTGGGATAACACACACACACACACACACACACACACACACACACACACACACCACCTCACCCCAGCAGCTATGGCTTATTGATCTCCCCTTATCAACAGTTTTAATGACAAGAGAACATTGTCTTGGACAAACTAGAAAATTAATAATTGCTTTGAACAGGCTCTGGATGGTAGCACTCTGAAAGAAGACGTTGTTCTGGAAACCATTTCCTTAATGCAATTTTAAAGTAAATTGAAATAACTATTGTATATTCATTATTAATCAAGATGAGCTGGATGAACGCTGCTTCCTTAGGCAGCGGTGCGGTGGATGAAGTGAATGCTCAGGAGCTCAGAAAATCACCCCCTGTCTCCTGTTAACTGCACCAACAATGGGCTCGCTTAGTGCTCATTTTCTTACAGAATGACATGTCAGCAAGAAGCAGAGTGAGAATTAATGAGCCCTTCGTTGTGATGACTGAGCATTTAACTGAAAAAATGATGTGCCGCACTCCTACTCTTGGCAGCGAAGAGGTCCAAAGTTCAGCAAGTGTAAAGACGCCAAGAGTGAAGGTGGAACAACTTTACCAATTGTCTTGCTGGCTTGCTGCAGGGAGGTGTGTGGAACCCATCTGAGATAGGTCACCATCCTTGTTCTTATCTTCCCTAAAAATCCCTGCAGAAGATTCATCTGTGCCAGAGCCCCCAAATTTAATCAGTGAGAACTCTGCTGTAGGATGGTACTCAACTAATTTTTACTCAGAGTAAACCCATTGAAATGAATGAACATAACTAAATTTGAGACATTAATTTCAAATTTTCAATGGATTGACTATGAGTAAAGCTTAGTTGGTTATCTATCTATCTATCTATCTATCTATGAATATGATGGAATACGTCCAGGGATAGAAGCCTAACAGTTGAATTAGCTGTTGGAAGGAAATAAGCTTTGATGCCAGTAAATAATTAAGTCTTTGCTTCTCAAGTAAGACTAGGGTTCCTTCTCCACAATGGTCAAAACACAAGGAGCCAATTTTCAGCTGCAAACACAAAGCAAAGAGAGAAACATTCATGTACAGCTTCTCAAAACTAGTGTTCCAAGTCACTATAATCATGAAATTCTGGGGGACAGTGAGAAGACAACCAATTACTGCCTGATGAACTTGATCAATTGCGTCCTATGTAATATTGATGTGTATTATTCTACCTGTGATAAACTTGCCAAATGTAGTTTACTGGGTTGTGTAGAATTGTGTGTGTCGGCCCTTGTCTATAGGAACGGCATATTGATCTGTAGCTTTCATTTTCTCGTCAAAGCTAATTTCATGATTGTACTAAAATGTGCCCTATCGTGGGAGGATTTTAGAAAACCATCCCTCCCACTCCTATGAGTTCATTATGAAGTAATCAAAAGTCAAAAATTGTATTTGGAAACTGATACATAAAGAAAAATAATGGAACCCAAAGATGATGAGTTATTGACGTGCTCATTGACACAGGTGGTTTCATACAAAATATCAATGCAAACGGTTTGAGGGAGAGAAAAATCCATAGCCCTCAGAATAGCCTGCAAGCATTTCAGTCGGCAGACCGGTAAGCCAACACTGTAGAGCTTTGTGTATTAGCATTTTTGTCTCTCACTAATCAGAGATATGGATTGAAACAGAGAAGCCATAATAATAATACAATAAAGGATCTTTTCTACGTTCAGGACCCCCGGTTTTGACATTTGGTGCAATTCTTCCTAATGCATTCAAAACTATTTCAGTAGTAATACTAAATACCTCTCTCTCTCATTATCTCTCTCCACACACACACACACACACACACACACACAGTTGTACAGTGGGAGACTTCCGGGTTGGCGCCTCTGGCAATGGCAGATTTCCTCCGATCGGGAGGAACCCGCTCCGTGGAAAACAGGGTCTGAACCGCCACGGCGAGGCGGAGACCCATCAAAAACCACAGGTGGGAGAAGCCTGTGGATGTGGGAGTCGGCTGGCACCTTTGCGCCCCCTCCACTCGCGGGGAAACCCAGTTTTGGGGATCCAGAGCGACGTGGGGTGAGTGGCGCGGTGCTTTGAATCGACTGCTTCTTTCACGGAGTGAAGCCGCATTGCTGTTGCCGGAGAGTGCTGACTTTTTCCTGTGGACAATTGGATTTCAAACAACTGCCCGTGAGTAGAACGGAAAATTGGACTGTGAAATTTATTAATTAGGCACCGAAAGCGGGAAGGTCTAAACAGGAAGTCCTCCTTCTGCTATTGTAGATAGATTGAAGCAAAGACACGGCAAGCTAGAGTTCAGAAAGTTGTCTGTAAAGGACTAAATTTTCATCATTTTAAATTACTGAACCCCCCCTTGGAAGCAGGAGAAGAGGGGGGAACCTTTTTTTTAGACTGTTTAAACCTGCAGAAGAGAGAGTAAAGAAAGGTAATTTTCCACCGTCTTGAACCTGGGAGTGGGGTGTCAAGACAGACGTTTTGGAGAAGCTCATTGACTATGGACAAATGTCTTTGACAGATAGTTAAAAGAACAGAAACATATTGATTCCATTGTTCCCTTTCGCTTTTTAAAGGAACAAAATTTTGACAAAATATCCGAAAAAGGAAAACTTTGTTGCTAAATCTGCCTTTAAAAAGAAAAAAAGAAAAAAAAAGATGGATACAAATAGAAATTGTTTCCCCTAGAGGGAGCTTGTGAAACTGTTATTAAAGTCGAACTGGGGAGTTTTGCAGCTGTAAAAGATTAAGATCGTGGGACCAGACTTCGACCTTGAACAAGAATGTGCTCAGAAGCTCTGGTGCTTGCCTTTTGCAAGACAAGTGCTTTATTGGAACAGTTACATGAGAAAATGGATTTGATGACAGTTGCAATAGGAAATTTTGGACAGGCAGTGGGTACCTATATAGAACCCACTTAGGAATTAATCCAGGAATGTGCTTTGACAGATGAGATGAGGGAGGAGGCTGTTGCTGGACCTCGGGTGGCAGAGATGGAGGGAGCTGTGGCCCAGCAGGAACATGAGTCGTTGGATTTGATGAATGAGCCTGGAAAAAGTCAGATTTGGAGAGACGGAGTTCTGCTTGGTTTGGAGATGGGGGGCTGGATGGACCCCCCTACGCAGAGATGTTTTGATTTTTCAAGTCTGGCTTTGGGCTGGGGGGAGCTCGGAGTTGTGGGAGCCCCTAATTTTGGAGGGGCCTTGAAACATGCCTTTAAATACCACATGGATTTCAGTGTTGAATATGGAAAAGGGGCTGACTTGTCGAGAAGGGACAAAAATATTGTCAAGTTGGAGTCTCCCAGAGTGAAAGGAGCAGAAGACAAAGTAAAGTACAGGTATAAACATGAAGAAGACCTGTGGAAGGGACATGGAAAAGACTTAAGAGCCTCGGATATAAGGTCACCAGGTTGATGGACTAGATGGATGGGATAGAAAGGACTGACAAAACCCGAGACCAGGAGAAGAGACGATGGATGAAGATTGGAAGAAAGTTTTAAAAAAAATATTTAGAAAAGTATCGCAAAATTAATGAGTATCAGAAAAATGTTGGAATGAAATTAATTGGCTTTAGCAGAAATGTTAAAAAGAATTATGTAAGAATATGTTATGGTTGAAAGAATTCGGTATAAATAAGATTTAAGTTTTAGGTTTTAAGGTTTTTTATGGTAAGATAAGGTTAAAATAGATTAAGGTAATTTAATGACAGAATATTGTGAAAGATGGAAAGGATTTGCTGAGATAATTAACAACTAGAATACAGAAAAGGGAGGTGTGAGGAGGTCGATGAAATAAGTTAATGAAAGTTAAGGATTTGGGAATATTGGATTTGTTTTTAAATCTGTTGTATATTTTTGTTTTTTGATTGTGTTGCATTGTGTGTTTTGTTTTTCTTTTTGATTTTGGTTTTTATTGATTTGTATTGTTTAATTGTTACTTTTATCTACTCTTTTCTTTCTCTTTCTCTTTTTCTTATTTTTTCCTTCTTTTTTTTCTTTGTAACTTTAAAATTCTCAATAAATATTTAAAAAAAAAACAGTTGTACAGTGGTACCTCAGGTTACATACGCTTCAGGTTACATACGCTTCAGGTTACAGACTCTGCTAACCCAGAAATAGTGCTTCAGATTAAGAACTTTGCTTCAGGATGAGAACAGAAATCGTTCTCCAGCGGCGCTGCAGCAGCAGGAGGCCCCATAAGCTAAAGTGGTGCTTCAGGTTAAGAACAGTTTCAGGTTAAGTACAGACCTCCGGAACGAATTAAGTACTTAACCCGAGGTACCACTGTACTTTGGTTGTCAAACTTAATCCATTCCGGGAGGCCATTCAACTCCCAAAATGGTTTGAAAACCAAGGCACAGCTTCTGATTGGCTACAGGAGCTTCCTGCACTCAATCAGAAGCCGTTGAAGCCGCGTCAGATGTTCAGCTTCTGAAAAATGTTCACAAACAATAATACTCACATCCAGGTTTGTGGCATTCGGGAGCCAAAACTTCCAAGTACCAAGACATTTGAGAACCAAGGTATGACTGTACTCTCTCTCACACACACACATTTATACATTGTTAAGGACTACTTTCTCCTAACGTCAGGGATAGCTGTAGCAGAATGTGAAAAGACAACAGTTGAAGCCACCTGCCTCACCCAGTTTAACAGAATATTTAATAGAAGAAAACTTCTTCCTCACATGACTGCCATCATGTGGGGGTGCACCACCTCCACAAGCCCCTCTGCCACATCACTCTGCGCCTCACCGCAGGTGTCCGGCTCCCAAAACATGGAAAATGATAAAACGGGCAACAGTGATGCAAGAGAAGCAGGGAGCTTGTCTATTCCCTCAAACGACTGGATTCACGATTAACGTCAAAATCAGTTGTCACCTTCATAATGTCTTGTAGACCTCGAACTGTGATGTCATCGCATTCTGATTTCCATGAGGCACTGTATTTATTTATTTATTTATTTATTACCAATTTATCTAGTGTTGTTGGGTTGTTGTTTTTTTTAAAAAAAAACAAACCCCAATAACCTCAAGGTGGTTTACAAAGAGATAAAACAATAACATCGGGGTGGGGTGGGGATTACAACAATACTTTAAAACATTCAACAAGTTAAAAAAAAATAAACTAAACCGGATTAAAATTCACCTTGACATTCTAAGCATCTTTCAAAGCATCTCAGCCTTTCAAGCATTCTTGGCTGCTGATGTTGGGAAGTGGGGAAACGTGAAATGTTTTGGCAATTCAATAAAGAGAGACAGGTTTTCTAGATTCGCCAGATTTAGCAGTGGTGGTTCTCCTGTCACTGTAATGCCTAATTTGGCCCTATATAGCTATATAGAAGGCGTAGGACGCAATCCTAGAGATTCACTGTGTTGAACTGAATGTTAACTTTTTTCCCCTACCCTAAACAAACAATATTTATCAGCTTCAGGCTTTTGCCTCAAATTGCAAATGCTGTGAAAAGTACTGGGAAGAAATCATATTCAGAGCATATTCCATTTCCGACTATTAGCTTCTTTAAGAGTACATTTCAAAAGATGAAAGATAAAATGCTATAGACTAATGGAAGGGGGGGGAAACAGTATATTTTTAAAATGTTATTTCTTTGTGACTAGGCCAAATATATATTAGTTTTAATCCCAGTGACAGGATTTTATGGGGAACAATAAAGGCGATAGAAAATAATGCTGATAACATCTCTTTGCATTAGCGTGCGTTTTGTGCTGTGTGTTAGTGGAGAAGCGAAGGGAGGGGGTTGTTATTTGACCATTAAATTAATGGACCCGATAAATGGAATTGTCACAGTGACACAAAGTGACAGTCTGGCTGTTTTTATCTGAGCCATTTTGAGCATGACATTTCTAATGTACAGAATTACCTCCCTGGATAGCTGCATTTTATGATATGTGTGCTTTAGTTTAAAGTATAGTAAAAACTATTTATTTATTCTTCAGGAAGGTAAGTGGAAATGCTGTTCCTCAGAAGCACAGAGGGAAACAGAAGTAGAGAATGAGGAATCCACACATCCTCCCCAAAACAGACATTTAATGCTTTTATGAAGCTTTTATGGAGCCCAGTTTGAGTGCCTGTGTTGGCGTCATGTAAAGGGAAAAGGGAAAGGACCCCTGGATGGTTATGTCCAGTCAAAGGTGACTATGGGGTTGCGGCGCTCATCTCGCTTTCAGGCTGAGGGAGCCGGCATTTGTTCACAGACAGCTTTCTGGGTCATGTGGCCAGCATGACTAAACCGCTTCTGGCACAACGGGACACCGTGATGGAAACCAGAGTGCACGGAAACACCGTTTACCTTCCCGCCACAGCAGTACCTATTTATCTACTTGCACTGGCGTGCTTTCAAAATGCTAGGTTGGCAAGAGCTGAGACAAAGCAATGGGAGCTCATTCAGTCGTGGGGATTCGAACCACTGACCTTTGAACCTTCTGATTGGCAAGCCCAAGAGGCTCAGTGCTTTAGACCACATCACCACCCGCTTCCCTTCATGAGAATGTTAGAAGAGCCTGATGGGTTAGGCCAATGGCATGCCTAGTCCATCATTGTGTTCTCACCGTGGCTAAGCAGATGCGTGTGGGAAGCCGGAAAGCTGAGTACGACAGCACTCCCTTCAGGTTTGGCCCTGCCTGAAGCACCCTTGCCCAGAAGACAATGGACCCCACTTGGCCCCACTGGCCCTGGTGAGGTTATTGGATGATGTGTAGGCCCTGCTATGGTGGTAGGGTAAGAAGTGGGCAGCAGCAATGCCAGGGCCAAACAGGAAATGGTGCCCGTGTGATGATGAGAAGGGTCACTACTGGTATGGAATTAAAATGGTGGCTACTATAGCTGAAAGGTGCAGAATCCATCCTCAGTGTAACATTGGCCAAAACGTGATGTTGCTGCATAATGACATTATGTGGGTCCTCTGTGTATTCTGAGGTAGTTCACACAGTGGTCGCCTAGAGGTACCCAGTGTGCCTTTCAGCTCCAAGCAAAAATAACCAAAAAAAAACCCCAGTTATATGCCTACGTAAGCGCTGTGGGTTAAACCACAGAGCCTAGGACTTGCCGATCAGAAGGTCGGCGGTTCGAATCCCTTTGACGGGGTGAGCTCCCGTTGCTCGGTCTCAGCTCCTGCCCACCTAGCAGTTCGAAAGCACGTCAAAGTGCAAGTAGATAAATAGGTACCGCTCTGGCGGAAAGGTAAACGGTGTTTCCGTGCGCTGCTCTGGTTCACCAAAAGCAGCTTAGTCATGCTGGCCACATGACCCAGAAGCTGTACGCCGGCTCCCTTGGCCAATAAAGCGAAATGAGCGCCGCAACTCCAGAGTTGGTCACGGCTGGACCTAATGGTCAGGGGTCCCTTTACCTTTACCTAAGTGCAGGTAGGCCTAAAATCGAATGCCCCCCTAACCCCACCTAATGGTCCTGACATTTACCGAAGGATGCCAAGAGCTGATCTCAGAGCGAAAGCATACATTCTCACAATTTCAGAGTCTGTTATGGCAATATTCTCAAGCTATGGGTCAGGAAGTATGAAGGTCAGGTAGTCTCTCTGCATATACATATATGAGGTGGGATGTGAATGGTCATATATTCATAGAATCATAGAATCACCAAACTGTAGAGCTGGAAGGGACCCCAAGGATCAGCTAGTCCAGCTGCCTGCAAGGCAAGCATCTCAGCTAAAGCATCCATGACAGATGGCCGTCCAACTGCTGCTTAAAAACCTCCAAGGAGAGTCCACAAGCTCTCCTTGGACCATCTGGGAACTGCAACTATGAATCAAGTCTGTGGTTTTCTGATGGGGAAGCAGCTATCAGCTAGAACTGGAGGGGCAGTAGGTGGCAAGGCCAAAATCCAACACAGAACCCAAACTTCTCAAGTCAAATTTACTCATAAATTTGTTCTGTCCTGTTTCTGTATGAATCTGTGATTTTTTTGATAATTTTTTTTAAAGAGCAGGAAAAATTGCATTTAAATAGGAATTTAATTCCATAGTTTGATATTTTTCTCAAAAATATGTATGTGTGTGTGTATATATATATATATATTCTCAAGGAAATATTGCTCTATCACAACATTCAGAGAAGTGTGAAATCTGATAGACAGCTAGATTCCCAACGCACGCTTTCGTGTGGGAGGTGTGGATTAGGTCAGCTTGTATTGGAATTCAGAAAGATTGTGTACTTCAAGCATCCCCTAGTTTAGACTACTTAAAATACAGTGTTGTTCACTTGAAAACTGCAGCTGGTGGTCCATCTGTTGATTAAATGCGAATGGAAAAAATGCTGGTTACACCAGTTCTGACCAACTGCCCTAGATCTCAAATCAAGGTGCTAGCTTGTCCTGACTTTGGAGACCCAACCTGGGTGAAGAACATCTAAGGGAGTAGCTGCTCTCCCAAGGTGCACCCAATGGCCTTGAAAGTTTAGGAGACATTCTGATGGTTGTCCCACCCTTTACTGTTATTGGAACACAGAGGGGCCTCCTTAGTTTTGGCATCCAACATTTACGTCTCTTCCAAGAGAACGTAGACCTTTTGCTTATCAGCTGAAAACAGTTTCCTTCTTTCAAGCATTTGCTCTCTTGGGTTTATTACGGCTGTTGGTTGAGATCTTCTACAGTGGACGCTCGGGTTGTGAATGTGATCCGTGCAGGAGGCACGTTCACAACCCGCAGCATTCGCAACCCACAGCGCCACGTTTGCACACATGTGGGTCGTGATTCGGCGCTTCTGTGCATGCGCAAAGCGCAATTTAGTGCTTCTGAGCATGTGCAAGCACCAAAACCTGGAAGTAACCCACTCCGGTACTTCCAGGTTCAGCGTGGTGCGCAACCCGAAAACATGCAACCTGAAGCGGCTGTAACCCAAGGTATGACTGTATTTCTAAATCTCCATTTAACAGACTGATTTTAATATGCCTTAATATTATTTGAGTCTTCTGATTCATATTTGTGCTCATTGCTCTTTTTGGATAAAAAGGAAATTTTAAAAGCACTATTAAAATACAGCCCCTTTTTCATATATATGTGTGTGTGTGTATATATATATATATATAAGTTTTCATTCCTGAGATAGGATGAGCAACAATAATTATTAAAGCATTGATCAAAAACCATGCAGTTTTGGCAGACTTATTGCCCTCATACATATTTGAAGCAGGAAAAGAACAAACTTGCAATTTCCAAATTATCTTAAAATCTTAGAAACAGATGGGGGAAATGTACTGATAGACAAATTTTTATATAAGAACCTAACATTTTATATAGAAATACATGTAGAAAATTCAGTGTGTTCTCCCTCATGGAGAGCACGGGTTGCGGGCGGGGCTGACAAGACACCTCACTATTGCTAGGCAAATGGTTTGGCCCTCCTTTAAGCAGGGGCGGGCTGTTACTGGGGAAATCTAGATGTTGCCATTTGTTGATTGACAGCCCTATTTGTTAAATACAATGCTCGCAGTGACGAACTTCCTCTTTTTGCTGTGTGCTTCGGATCACCCGCCCTCCCTTACCTAATGTTCGGCTGTTTGCTTGACCTTGCTATGCCTGTCATGGGGTCGTCTGCTTTGGGGCAGGGGCCCGGTAGGAATTTTGTCCATTTGGCTGATTAGTGTGTGCCATTTGGTTTTTGCCTACTGCGTAGCAAATCGTCACAACTTGTAAGGTTTGCAGTTAGGCATTGGTCTTGGAATTGGTTGGTGGAGGGGTATGGATTTGGCTGTGCCTGCCCCTCCAAAATGCTGCTGCTGCTGCTGCTGCTGCTTCAAGGGTTTTCCGTTAAAGGAACCCAGGGGCTCCCCATGCTTTTGTCCGAAACCCCCTGGCAAGGAGCTAGAGCCACGCAAGAGCCCATGAGAGCATTCTGGGGAGAGGTGAGGCATGGTTCCCAGTCCTGTCTCTCTCCCCAGGTGACTTACCCTTGCTGACTTCGCGGGGGGTGCGAATGTCAGAGCTGTCCCCGTGCGGGGTCAGTTAGTGCTACCAATGCCTAAGCAACCACTCACATTGCTGTAATTTGAATAAAGTTGTGGCCAAAATTATGCCAAAAACCTTAAACAAAAATCAAGTGTCAATTGTGTTTTTCTTTGGGAGGTGTCTGGGGGACCTCGAAGCGCAACAAGTTCATTTATTTTAAGGAAAACAATGTTAGGATGGGCAACTGGGAAGCACAGGGAAATTTTTCATTGGGAATGATAGGAAGTGTAGTTTAACTTCCATTATTAAAAGTCCCATTTAGCTTGGGGCTTAGGATACCTGAATGATTGTGTCACCCCTTATCAGGAGGTCCATTCCACACAATGCAGGAATTGTGCCTTTAGTGTTCTGGCACCCTCTGAATTACCCCTCCTGTAGAATATTAGGCACTGTCTCTGTTGCCTTCTTGTTGCCTATTGAATACTTTCCTCATCCAACATTGTTTTATCACATGTTTGCCTCCCTGGGCTCCTTCAGGAGGAAGCACGCATTAAATAGCAAGCAACCACCAGTTACTTCAGACAATTTGTAAAGGGAAATCTTTTTGCCCAGGCTTCGCTAGACCCCTAAGATTAAATCTTGTTTTTATTTTAATAATAATAATAATAATAATAATAATAATAATAATAATAATAATTTATTTATACCCTGCCCACTCTGGGCGGCTTCCAACAAAATATTAAAATACAGTAACCCATCAAACATTAAAAGCTTCCCTAAAGAGTGCTGCCTTCAGATGTCTTCTAAAAGTCTGGTAGTTGTTGTTCTCTTTGACATCTGGTGGGAGGGCGTTCCACAGGGCGGGTGCCACTACCGAGAAGGCCCTCTGCCTGGTTCCCTGTAACTTGGCTTCTCGCAGTGAGAGAACTGCCAGAAGGCCCTCAGCGCTGGACCTCAGTGTCCGGGCTGAACGATGGGGGTGGAGACACTCCTTCAGGTATACTGGGCTGAGGCCGTTTAGGGCTTTAAAGGTCAGCACCAACACTTTGAATTGTGCTTGGAAACGTGTGCAAATTTCCTGAATTTCCAGGTAGCTGTTCTTGTTTTTAAATACTTTCATGCTACTGCTTTACTGGTTTTATGTTGTATTTCTGTTTTCATGATACTGTTTATACTTTCTATGTTGTGTACACCACTAGAGCTTTTAAAAACATTAAGAAGTTTATAAACTATTGTAAATAATAATATAGTAATAATAAATTAGGAAGCCCTTTTGCAACTGGGGATGGACAGCTTAGTCTGTTTCCAGTCCATCTCAGATTTACATGTGCTTATCCATAGATCTGTCCCATCCCATTTCCAGATTAATCTGCTTTAAATCCTCGCCAATAAAAGGAAATCACATTTGAGTACTTATTTACACAGCAAATAACCCTTTGAAGTGGCACACACCTCAAAACTGTGAATCCACCGTAAGAAGTGAAGGAAATTCTACACATAAGATGGCTTCTTATCATGGCAGCAGTCTAGCACATTTAAGGGATAGGACTTCAATTTGCATTATTAGAGAGTCATTTCACAAAGTCCCACACATGTGGAAACGCAATCAAATGGGACAACTGTCAAGGTCTGCGTAATTTACAAGACTTTCGGCCTTGAGAGTGTCCCTTTCAGTTTCAAACAGCATTATCTTTCATTTTCCTAATTGGTAGTGCAGTAAAGTCAGGAAATTAATTTAGATATGATACCCTGGATCTCAATTTCTTTAATTTGGGCTGACATATTCAATTATGGGTCACTCTATCAAAGGTGTTGGGCTTAAGGAATGTCACGGAAGAGGCTAATGATCAGTGCTTGCAAAGAATGAGCAGGGGAAGGGGGAACCTGGAAATATCGAAAGGGGGTGATGTTCCCCACTCCTCCTTAATATCACCTTTTCCCTTGTAACAAGAGAAATGGAGAAAATTATGGGCCCATGATTTGCTTGCAGCACGTCACATTGTCCATACCAGTGTAAGCACCTGCATTCCATGGATCCTCTTTTAGTTCTCTTCACCACCAGGGAATGAGTGTATGGACTTCAGCAAGTTAAACTGAGCCTTAGTTCCTCGCTTGTAAAAACTGAACAGTGACTAGGGATGCAATACATTAGGAATGTGTGGAGAAATTTCACTTGGGAAGGAGGTCTGCCGAAGAGGCTCTCAGGACCTCAGACCACCAAAGTGGAAATTGCACCAACTTACCCCTTTTGGTTGTCATCTTGTTGGAAGGTCCCCTATGACATCCAAGATGGTACCCTCAAATATGGGAGGCAGGAACTAGATAACAAAGCAGAGGGACAGAGACTGGGTAAACTGTGCATAGGTCACTTCAGATCTCAAATTCCTCCTTATAAATGGTGCTTCTGAGCCTCAACATTACACTCCTTGTCTGGAGGCTTTTATCTACCACACCATCTTGTGAAGCATCTATGTGTTTCCAGCAGTGATGGATTTACGTCTAAGCTAAACAAGCTGTAGCTTAGGGCCCCACTCTCTTGGGGTCCCCCCCAAAAAATTAAAGGAAGAACAAAGCTGGATGCACATTTCCAAAAACAAATAAAATAAAACCTACATACAGCAACAGTGTTTTGTGTTGTGTAGGCTCCTGTAAGTAATGGGTCCTGCCTGCCAGCCTGCTCCCTAAAATATCACTGGTTCACTCATTTCTATATATAGGGTGCCTACATTCTGCATGGACTGGTTGCATGGCCACATGTGCAAATGGCTTTAGATACCTATTAGGTCCATAAATTACTATATAGCATATATTCAATACAAAAAACAGTGACAATTTGTTGTTGAGAAAGGACAGTTGGACATATAAAGGGCCCCATTACCTTCAGTAGCTGAGGGCCTCATCAAACCTAAATCCGGCCCTCGTTTCCAGTGCTGTTTCCTTTTCCTGAAAGCAATTTAATAATATGAGCGATGCACATCTCGGTTCCTGTGACCAAAGGATGCGATTGATTTGTGTCGTCCTTGGGAAGGAGTTCTTCATAATCCAGGGATTCCGAGGCTTTCAAGGAGAAACCTATGTTGTGGCAGCATATGACTCTAGGGATACCTTCATAGGTATATTTAGCAAGCTCTCTTAGGATGTTTCCAACATTGAAGAATTGCACTGTTCAGCAGTAATGGGCTGCAATGCCAATACTCCTTTTCAGCCAAGAGACAAAACTGGCCTTTATTTGGGCACCACTTTTATACTCAAAGAGCACCTTGGTCTCAGCAGGATCAGACTGAATTCATTTAGCAAAATTTAATCCTGCAAAGAGAGGTGGAGAAAGAAGTTTAAAATGGAAAGAAAGAAAAGACTTGTTTTGCACTGAGCTTCGAAACCAAGAAAGTATTCCTTAGGGTATGTTTGGAACAATCTTTCTAAAACAGATTAAGAGGACTATTCAGGTTTGAGTTGAGTGCACATAGCTTGCTAAGTGTGCTCACTTTCATGGTCTTGCCACCCCACCTAAACTCAGATGATGGTCTCCTCAAATGATCTTGAAGCCACAAATGGGAGGTTCTCCAGCCCCAGGCCATTTAGGGCTTTTAGCTCGGTATCTGAGGTGAAGCATTTAAATTAAAAACACAGGAAGCTGCCTTATGCTGGGTAGCATTCAACTAAATGGCTGCACTACACAAGGATTGGGATGCGGGTGGCGCTGTGGGTTAAACCACAGAGCCTAGGACTTGCCGATCAGAAGGTCGGCGGTTCGAATCCCTGCGACGGGTTGAGCTCCTGTTGCTCGGTCCCTGCTCCTGTCAACCTAGCAGTTCGAAAGCACGTCAAAGTGCAAGTAGATAAATAGGTACCACTCCAGTGGGAAGGTAAACGGCATTTTCGTGCGCAGCTCTGGTTCAGCAGAAGCGGTTTAGTCATGCTGGCCACATGACTCGGAAGCTGTACGCTGGCTCCCTCGGCCAATAAAGCGAGATGAGCACCACAACCCCAGAGTCGGTCATGACTGGACCTAATGGTCAGGGGTCTTTTTACCTTTACCTTACACAAGGATTAGCATTAGTGCAGCAAGCTTTCCTCTGTCCTTCACCCAGTGTGTGCACCCAATGTTGTTTCCAGATCAGCTGCAGAGGGTTGGGGGAACAGACTGGGGAGATGCAAGAGCAGGAGGGGGAGAGAATGCTTCATTGCATTCGAAACATGATACTGATTGAGGTAGGAGAATGGTGCAGTACACATTCACCATGTACCCACCATGTACCCATCATGTTTCTCCCTAAGGCTGTCCACATGCTGAGTACCATACTTGAGTAGGCAGTTTCCATGAGCTGGAAACCTCAGTGCTCAAGACTGCAACTTGCAGCGATAGTTTATGCCAGGGATAAGGAACCTGCAGCTTGCCATGTGTTGTTGGACCACAGCTCCCATCATCCTTGGCAATTGGCTAGGGCTGATGGGAATTTGAGTCCAACAACATCTGGAGGGTCACAGGTTTTTTGGACTACCCATGTTGGCAAGCTGTTCCAATTCAGACATGTTGGGTGCATTCATGTTGTTGTTTAGTCGTTTAGTCGTGTCTGACTCTCTGTGACCCCATGGACCAGAGCATGCCTATTCATTTCAGTGGGTCTGTTTTGAGTAGAACAAACATCAGACACAACTTAGTACCTCTCTCTCTCTCTCTCTCTCTCTCTCTCTCTCGGACTACTTAATTGAGCATGAGGACTCACACACAATCCAGACTGTTAACATCTTTTTTTTTCCTTTGAAGAAATTACTCCACCTGCTGAAAATCATAAACTCTGAAAATTTCCCAGAGTTTAGGGACAAACTACATATTAAACAATTGTTTGTATAATGCAGCCCAAACGGTTGCGACAGCAGCAATGGGGAAAAGTGGTTTTACAATGAACTATTTTAACTGGAATGGGGCGTGGGGTGGTGGTGGAATGGGTGTTTAACACTTTCCTTACCATCTTTTTTTCTACTCCAAATCACCTTCAGCTGCTTCCTGTCCCCACAGGCTTTCCTCAGCTTAGAACCCTACAAAGGAAAAACAGCTGGAGTGGAAGGATATGGCTTTTTAAAAAATGACTGATGGGTCAAGCATTCCTCAGCCACCACTTTCCCATTCAAAACTACTTTTGAACTACAGTGGTACCTCGGGTTAAGTACTTAATTCGTTCCAGAGGTCCGTACTTAACCTGAAACTGTTCTTAACCTGAAGCACTACTTTAGCTAATAGGGCCTCCTACTGCCACCGCGCTGCTGGGGCATGATTTCTGTTCTCATCCTGAAGCAAAGTTCTTAACCTGAAGCACTATTTCTGGGTTAGCGGAGTCTGTAGCCTGAAGCGTATGTAACCTGAAGCGTATGTAACCCGAGGTACCACTGTATATATATATATTAACCATTGGAGTTACATTATATGTACTTGTAAATAATGCTTAGCTTGGCCAAAGTCCAAACCCTCCATGAAACTAGTTGCATATGAATTCTGCTATATATTTTCTTAAAAAGAAAATAATAATAATTTACTTCCTCTTGGTCTGCTGGTACACTGGTACCTCGGGTTACATACGCTTCAGGTTACATACACTTCAGGTTACAGACTCCACTAACCCAGAAATAGTGCTTCAGGTTAAGCACTTTGCTTCAGGATGAGAACAGAAATCGTGCTCCGGCGGCGCGGCGGCAGCAGGAGGCCCCATTAGCTAAAGTGGTGCTTCAGGTTAAGAACAGTTTCAGGTTAAGAACAGACCTCCGGAACGAATTAAGTACTTAACCCGAGGTACCACTGTATTCTGCATTGCCAAGGGATTGGTTACCTCCCCGTACCCATGCTTCTCTTTTGAGTTCTGCTCCATTTTTTTGCTGCCTTTTCATCTGCTTTACCAATACAGGAACAGAAACCTTGTTTATTATAGCTCCTATTAATAATAATTCAAAAGGATTTTGATGCTTCCCAGGGCCATCTGGATTAATGATGCTGCAATGCAGATGATCTGTGAAATCGTTGCCTGCTCATTCGCACTTGTTCAAGCACATTTGACAGCCAGATATGGGATGGGGGGGGGGCAACTCCCATCTCTTGCAGGGGCTCAATTAGTGCCAGCACCATCCGTTAAGAGTTTAGGAGTAATCTTAGACACCTCACTTTCTATGGAGGCGCAGATTGCAGCTATAACAAAGGTGGCATTTTTTCATCTCCGCCAAGCTAAGCAGTTGGCTCCTTGCAACGGTCACCTCCAGGCTTGATTATTGTAACTCACTCTACGTGGGGCTGCCCTTGAGACTGACCCAGAAACTCCAGCGGGTGCAGAATGCCACGGCAAGACTCCTTACGGGGTCTTCACCGTGGGATCACATTCATCCGGTGCTATACCAGCTGCACTGGCTCATGGTGGAGTACAGGATAAGGTTTAAAGTGCTGGTTTTAACCTTTAAAGCCCTATACAGCCTAGGACCCTCATACCTATGGGACTGCCTCTCCTGGTATGTCCTGCGGAGGACCTTAAAGGTAAAGGTAAAGGGACCCCTGACCATTAGGTCCAGTCATGACCGACTCTGGAATTGTAGCGCTCATCTCGCTTTATTGGCCTAGGGAGCCGGCGTACAGCTTCCAGGTCATGTGGCCAGCATGACTGAGCCGCTTCTGGCGAACCAGAGCAGCGCACGGAAACGCCGTTTACCTTCTCACTATAGCAGTACCTGTTTATCTATTTGCACTTTGACGTGTTTTCGAACTGCTAGGTTGGCAGGAGCAGGGACCGACCAACGGAAGCTCACCCCGTCACAGGGATTCGAACTGCCGACCTTCTGATCGGCAAGTCCTAGGCTCTGTGGTTTAACCCCAACGCCACCCGCGTCCCGCGGTGGACCTTACGGTCTTCAAATAAAAACATCTTGGAGATCCCTGGCCACAGGAAGGTTAGGCTGGCCTCAACCAAAGCCAGGGCTTTTTTGGCCGTGGCCCTGATCTGGTGGAACGCTCTGTCACAAGGGCCCTGTGGGACTTGACATCTTTCCACAGGGCCTGCAAGACATAGCTGTTCCACCAGGCCTTTGGCCAAGGCACAGTCTGACCCCCCTCTCTCCTTCTGTAATCCTCATAGAACTCTGACCCAATGGTTGCCATTAATTTGATTCTGAACTGATTTTAGAATGCATTTCAATTAATTGACTGTGATTTTATGTAAACTGTGCTATTTTTACTGTTGTTAGCTGCTCTGAGCCCGGCTTCGGCTGGGGAGGGCGGGATATAATAATAATAATAATAATAATAATAATAATAATAATTGTTATTATTATTATTATTAATGCCCGCCTACGTGCCCCACTCCAGGAAGAGACCTGGTTTCACAGCAACCAGCTACCAACACTGAGGGAATCTGTGCACATATAAACATACCCTGACACAGGCCACACCAGTGCTCATGAATATTCATAGCCATCCCGTCATTTAACTTCAATCAACTCTTATTTTAAAGCTGTGAGGACCTGGCAATTTTCACCTTTATTGTGAAGAAAGAGCAATCACATGAGAGTGCCTTGTCATTCTCCTGCTAATGAGTTTAATCTGACATTTGGCAAAAAGTGCTTTGGGGTGTCTTGCGCGACAGTATTGTTTTTGTGGTTTTTAATAGAATCTGCACAAAGGCATTTCTGAGGGGTAGAAGCTCTCCTTGATTTCTCTCCCCCCCCCCTTTCCTTTCATTTGAACGAGTTAAATGTTAAATTACTGTTATTGTGAGATGCTTCATGGCTCTGAAGTTGCATGGAATTGCTGGACGGCTCTCAGATGTGCAACTGGCTTTGTTCTACTTGTAACTTTCCTAAAAGCTCTATTTGGAGGCTCAAAGCATATGCTCACTGATCCCAGTGTGTCACCCAGCAAAAGCCCAACCACAGTGATGTGCCAGTATTAGACAGCGGCTGCATTCAGGAAGCATATTCTCTTTTCCAGTTGTTTGTCACACAATGTAAAATCCACCCAATGGAAATTGAATGGAATCTAGTAGACGTTTAATGCATATTTCCCTGCTGATGAGCAAAAGATTCCTGCACTGCATGGGGTTGGACTAGATGACCCTCGTGGCCCCTTCCAACTCTACAATTCGTTGAGTGTATGAATTGCTTTCAGAAGAAAACCTGTTTGCACTCTCATGAACCCAAAAAATGGTGAGATGAGATTTTTTTAAAAAAGTTTTTTATTGATTTTCCAATTTTATATCAAACAAAAAAAGAACATCAGACAACAAACAAACAAACAAACAAGCATTTATCCTAACTATAATAATTCCATTTTTTTAACATTGTTAAATGACTTCCTTGAATCCCCCTACCTAAGTTTCCATATAGTCCATTGTAGCAGTTTTCCAAAACTGTTTTCACATAAAATTTACTTGGTCAATTTACATCTTTCTTTCTTTTCATTTTAACTTTAACATAGTATTTTACAACATCACATTTTTAAATCCTAGGCCTATTTGGTACTCGCAAGTAGTTCTATTTATGTTATCTTAACATATTTAGCTAAATAATCTTTGAATTTCTTCCAATCCTCTTGGTGCTCCTCCTTTCTCTGGTCACGGACACTTCCGGTCAGATCGGCTAGCTCCCAAAAATCCATCATCTTCATCTGCCATTCCTCCACTGTTGGTACTTCTTGTAGTTTCCAATTTTTGGCCAACAAAAATGGTGAGATGAGATGTTGGGAAGTATCCCTACATGAAGTTCTCACTAGCCTTTTTCATGGGGAAACACATTGCACATAAACGGTGGTGACATGCCCGATGACATCTGTTGCGGTG